TCTCTCTCTCTCTCTCCGGCCGATGGACTCTATTTGGGAAACTACTTGCCGGAACTTGCGCCATTCGCGAAGCGCAAGCTCGGCTCGGCCTGTGTCCGATGCTCTCGTCCCGCTCCCTTTCTCTCTGTGTCGCCTTCTTTTTCTTCCCTCCGCCACCCAGCTAGAATATCGTTTCGAGATTGTTAAGCCTACAGATTGAAATTACACCCTCGGCGCGCCGCTTCGCCTCGAAATTATCGATAGACCGGGGAGACGTTGAACGTACACGCGCGATCGATAGGCGCGACATCCTTCCGACGGGACGTTTAAACCCTTTGCGGTTTCGCGTCGCGGCGCGCCGAACGAGAGTGGCGGCAGCCCTCTTCGAGAGAATTCCACGCGTATTCTCCCTTTTTCTCGCTTTCGACTCGACGTTCCGGGAACGGCGAACGTAATTCGCGTGGGAAACGCGTTTCTTTTTTTCGAAACGTTACCAGAGCGCGGGCAGGAGGAATATCAAATATCGCGGCGATTTACAACGGGGGTTAACGACCGTGACGCGCGAGGAGAGAAAAGTCGGGATGCTCGACGGCTTCCTCGGGCTCTTATCTTTGCGCCGCGTTTCGCGCCAAATGCGAGAAAGCGAAAGAGCAAACATGTATTAATTCGCGGGAAATATTCCCGTCCCCATGATATTCGGGGTCCGGCGATCGCGGTCATCACGGGAAATGGAAGGGATCGATACGAGTGACGATTCGGGGTAACTGTGACGTCAAGTAATTAATTGGTTGCCTTTGGGCAACGTTATATCGAACCGCACACAATCGTGCCATTGTTGCGGCCAGATGCGGATTATATCGGGGGAAGGGATGGGAGAGGGGAATGAACTCTTCCGAATAACAGCGATTCGCAATAAAATCCGCACGATCCGCGGAAAAAAATTGTTAAAGGGACGATATCGTTCTAGATGTGACTCTTGTTAGCCTAGGTTATCTCAACTAGAGTATTATGCTTTTTATATTTTCAAAAAATCACGTAATGAAAGAGAACAATCTATCGACTTTTTTAATCAATAGTTTAAAGATATTGTTTATCAGTATTAAAAAGAATTTAAATTTCCCATCTTATTATTTCCTGCTTTAAATTTCCTCACCTGAAGGTGTAGACTCTCCGACTTTTTCTTTCTCTTTTCTTTAATCGCACATAGCATCATAACGACTCATTGCCATAACACACATCCATTAGATATCTTATCTTCGATACTTGGAAGTAATAGAGGTAACATCCTGTCCGAATAAGTAAATAAGACAAAGACATATCACACGTATCATTAACAAATATCACAAAGTCAATAAAGCATTTTCATCATTATGAGCAATTTCAATTCACATGGAAGAGCAGTTTTGTTGAAATGTCTAAAAATTTGACCAGATAAGATCTAAAAATAATTTTGTTGAGACATCAAAATTTAGAATTATATAAAATACTTTGCATAATGATAAACTGATGACTGCAAATATTTTTTATATTCTAGCAATCAATTTGAATATTTTATATTGTTAATGGCTCGACAAATTATTTTTAGATTTGTAGTTGGTCAAATTTTTAAGTACTTTAGCAAAAATATTTTTTCCATGTTTAAAGATGTTTAAAGACATTTTTAAAAAATGTATAAATATTTTTATAATTTTGAAATTTACAATAAGAAAATTATGAAAAACTTATAAATTATCCTAAATTGCATTTAAAAATAATTCAAAAAAGTTTAGCGACTTAAAATGTGGATGAAAAATTATTTAAGCAAATAAATAGAAATATACTTAAGAAATAATGATCAAAATTTTTTAATATAAACACTAAATATTCAAGATTTATGTGAAGTTGTTATATATAAAATATATAAAAACATTGAAATTTTTATTTTTATTATTTCTTAATTTTCTATTAAAGCACATTTCTACTTCATATTTAAATAATTTTTCGGCTTCTAAACCGTCGCCAAACTTTTTTGTATTATTTTTAAATACGATCTAGAATAATCTATAATTTTTTCATTGTAAATAAAAATGAGTGTAATATATCCTTAACAAACTTCGACTAAATTTGCTTTCGTTTCATTAGGTTGTTTCTTTTTGCGTTTGGAAACAAGATACGTTGAGTCACACGATCTACTCGCAATATGCGATATTAAATTTATAAAAAGGTATATAGACAGAAGAATATATATAAACGTAAAAGGGATTAGCGTTATACTGAAGCGACGTGGAAATTCTATGGTCGCGATGCCATATGGCAAGAAATTAAAACGCTGCGAGTTGCATACGAGCTTTTGTCTCCCGTGCGACAATACTTGAAAATCGATCTGTCTAAAATGGGGCTTTAAGGGTGCACTCTCCACTTCTCTCGTCCCCTCTTTCCCGGTAGTGTCGGTGGCGCGAGAAGAAACGATATCGATCTGGGTGAAACGTGTTATCAGAAAACGCACCCACCTAGAAAATCTTACGATGCGTTTGTGCATTATTCACCGTCCAAGAGTTTTTTTCGAACATTACACTCTCCACGTAGTCTGTCCCTTTTACACGTTGAATAACCGTTTAACCTATTTCAACCCGGCATTATTGAAAATACGCCATTCTCGGAAGCCTGCGACAATTGCGATTTTTATATAATCCCCGCCACAATAATTTCTGTAAACGGGAAATGTAACGATTACTCTCTAACATTAGAATCCAAATGTTTGACGTATTTATTGTTTTTTATTGTATCGACTATTTTTACTACTGCAAATCCGTACGTTGCGAATAAAATATTTTCCAAAGATATTTTTGCATTTTTTTTAGCTATGATTTATGCTTGTATCATTTTTGTATTTTTTTATAAAAGAACATTACTTCTTACATGTGTATATCTGTAATCGTTAATTATTCATGTTTTTAAGACTTGCGTATTAAAGATATGCATCAACATATTGTTATGCTAATACGAAAGAAAAATATAATTTAATTAGAATTATGTAATTTTATAGGATTATATTTATCTTAATTAATCTCGCGTAATGGCGAAAATTCATGTTTGGCGTGTTTCGATGCTTATGAATTGATAACAAAGCAAAATTCATCATATTTGCATTTTAATGAACAATATTAAAAAATTCTATCTTTCATAACAAATGTGACATATTATAATAAAGGGAAATGTTTATTCTATGCTGGAATAAGCGTATCAGTCATGAGTTTTGGACACTCGCATTGGAAGTTAAATGTGCGGTATCGAGATGAGTTTATTGCGCTTAACGAAGCCACTTTGCGGATTTATCACTGGACGTGTTGTGAATGATGCAGATACACTCTTTTAGATTACATAACTGGGAATGAAAGGACACCCAGAGAGATAATTCTCTAAATAAATCGATCCTCCATACAAAGAAAAAGGGGAAACGCTAGAAAGAAGAAAAATATCAAAATGTACACAAAAAAGTCGAAAATATGACGATAGGAAATCAAGATGATAAATCCTTCGAGTATTTTTGTGAAGCATTGTTCTATGACGAGCAAAAATAAAAAATAAAGTATTACGAATTAAATGTCAAAAAGAATCAACTCGTACGAGAAATCTAGCACATATTTTTTATCGAATGTTTTGATAACTCTAGCAAATTGCTCAAATTCGTATTTTTATTGGTTGACATTTAAAAATCTTTTTTAGTGATTAGATTAAAAAAAAATTATAGTTTTCGATACGCCATCGACGTATATAAAATTTCTTTCGCTAAAATAGCATTCCTCTTATCGGGAAAGAAAAAAAGATTGCGATCGAATTAATGATAGAAAAAAACCGAATGACCGATATGCACACGCTTAAGCGTACACACGGACGCGAACAAATAATCATGATAATTATCGTGAGCGCGAAGGAGGAGATAGAACACGTGGTTGGTTTCACGGAGCGAGGAGTGTCGTCGGTCCTCCTCGCGCGGGTTTTAAAATAGAATATCGTTTTTCTCGTTCGATCCAATTAATCGACCCTTTGCGCGGCGCGCGATGGTCAGATCCACGGGACCGGGCGCTGACTCACTCGGAAAATATGTACCATTCGCACGCGCTACTTCCCTCCCGATTACGAGCATTATGTCGTTGTCAGGGGAGGATCGGTACCTACGTACGCACGTACGTACGCATTGAGAGGATCGCGTTACGGCGATACGTACGAGGCGCGATATCGCGCGCGCGCGTTATTCAGCCGCTGCTCTCGCACGTTATTGTCACGCAATGTGGCGCATCGATACGGATTATATCGTTTATTGAAGCTCAGTCACGAACGCACGTACCGCACGTCATCGTCGCGTGCAACGGATGAATAAAGTTCGACGTAGAAAACAAAAAATGATCTCTTTTTCTCTCGACAACGGTTCGACTTTTCTGCTGCGTCGCACCGGGAGAAATCGCCGATGACAAATTGATCCGCAGACAGATTAATCGACCGCCGTTCGCAGCGGCTCGGAAGACCGCTAGGCCGCCTCTCCTCGATGACCTTCCGCCGTCGCAAATAGGAACGAACGCACGCCACACCTCGACCTGGTAGCGTCACGCCGCCGCGATCGAACGCGCGCTGCTTTTCGCAGGAAAAAAAGAACCGCACGCTTAAATTATTAATGTCGGTGGCGCGACGCATTGTAAAACAACCCTGGGCTATACGAGACGCAGTTCGAACGATTGTAGAATAATGGTGTTGATTTCGTGTACGAGATCTCATGTACGAATCGGCGAACCCATACTTCGCGAGCCAAGGAGGAAATGAACATGAAGCTATCACGGTCTGAAAATAAAAATGAATTTAATTTGTCGCCTGCATCAAAATCTCTAAAAATAATACAGCGACGTTTCGCATTTGATTTGAGAATTGAGAGATATCTCGTGAGTTTTACCTTGGAAATGCATGATAATTTATCTTCGCTAACAACGTGATTGCGAGTAACTTAATTTATTGATACCATTGAATGCAATCGTAGTTGTTGATTTATTTATTATTTCGCTTTTATCGTGCGCGATCAATAATTCAATTAAATAGAATGAATTCGTATTGTGTACAGAGTATTCTCGATCTATTTGTTAAATTTATTATTCCAATAAATTTCATATTGATTGCTTTTTCGGCGTAAATTTTAAATCTTATCATTCGACGCAGTGTTCTAATTTAAAAAAAAAATTGCATCGGTCATTAAAAACTAAATGATAAAGCTAAATTATTGTTTTGACGTAAAATTTTCTTCAAGCTTATGAAATTTATAAATAAATTAATAATAAATTAATCAAGATTTGTGTTTGGAATTAAATTCATTTATAAGTATCCTTGAATTTTTCATCTCCCTATCATTTCATAATTATGTTGATGCCATAATGTCAAAACAATCGCCGTTTTAATTGATAGGCTTCTCGGTATTCGGAACTAAAAGAAGACAGGTCTAGGACAGTCTATACACAGATCCAATGACGCAGAAGCTACAGATACGTATTATGATACTAGAATATGATTCACACGTCCTAACCCATCGCCGTTATTCTACGATGTCGAGATTTCGTGGTGATTAAATTGATTCTCTAGTAGCATATAACAGCATAATCCTTTTAATAACGTAACATGCAACAGAATCGGAAAAGAAAAACCACTGTAAATACCTCCGTTAAATTAAAAAACGCAGATACAAACGTCACTTTCTCTTCGATCTTGCACATTTATTCTTCGTCGTGCTACTTACAATAAATACATTGCTCGACACCTCGTGAACAATCGTATTCGCGTTTTCTACAATTCACATACTTCCTTAATTAATATCGGTTTTGGTATCTCCCTTTTCTTTTTCTTTGAATCCCTGCGCGATTTGTTTTTGCGTGAAAACTGCTTTTAAAGCGCACGATCGAAAAATACTAATATCGTTTCGTCGAATCTTCGTTATGATACGCTCATGCCAATTTGCACACATGCATGCGTGAAAAGCGAAGAGGGCTCCTATCGAAAGTGACTCGTGACTTATACACATTGATACATAGATTTACGGTGTGTACTGTGACACGGTTAAAACAATGCCAGTTATTTGACGCAATAAAGGAACGTAACGAAAGGGACGTAACGATTTAGGCCAAGCGAGAGAAGACGCGTTGCAAGTAGGCTAAGGTGACTCGCTGTAAAAGAAAGTAGCAAGGTGTTTACGCGAATACTTACATGGAAGTAATTATCCAAGTCACTGTAAGGAACGAGCCACGCTCGCGAGTACTAATTTTTACAAGTACTTCCGATTATCTTGACCGGTTTCAATTTCAATAATCTGGAATCGTTAAATCAATTAGAAAAGACAATTCTCTTTTGGAGCGTTAAGATCGATTTATCACGATCAATCTCTCGTATATTAATCACCAGATTAATTATACATCTCGTGCTGCAAATTGCATATTATCCATAAAAATTAATTTTATTTTTTTTTTTAAGAAATTCGTTAAGTATGTTACAAATAATATAATATACATATATAGAACAACAATAATAAGAATTCAATATATCCTCTAGTTTCGAGAATATAATGTATCTTAAACTTTAGATAATTAAATTTCGATACGCACGCAGTATATGTGTTGTATGAATATCGTGATTCATATGTGATGATTCTTCGTGACACACACACACACACACACCCACGCGCGCATACACACGCGCGCGCGCACACACACACACACACACACACACACACACACACACACACACACACACAATATATAAATACATATTTTTATAAAAACGGTGATAAATTACTGTCACCACGTTTTCCGGCATAAATATATAACTTCTTAAATGCGATTACATTTGGTATGAATTACAAAAAATACACAGAGTATATCATGCGTATAAAAACAGTTGCGTGTGTCACGGAAAAGTCTATGATAATCTTCGTATAATCTACGGATCGTAATCAAGCTTTCAGAAAGTTAGAAAATAGCCGAATCCTTAGATAACACAAGAAAATCATATTCTAAATATTATAAAATATTCACATATCATACATTAAATTCTGCACTTATTAAGAGATAAATATTTTCTGCCAAAATCTATATTATATCGAACAAATGTATAAATAATAAAAAAGAGATTAATTATTAGAATTAACTTTATTAATTCCAACAGTTCCGTTCCAAGAAAATGAGATAAAATATTAAGCGAAAGTTGGAAAGTGTATCTTTTAAAACCCTCGAAAAATTATCATAAATTATCATTATTAAGAGAACACATGTTCAACAAAGGCAATACGAAAATCCGCGATTCAAAATTTTCAATTTAAATTAACTCTGCTAATATGAAAAAAATTAATTTCTGAAATTCGAATTTGTAACTTAGTAGGATGAGAAATATATATGTACATATATGTAATATATAAATAAGAATTATTTTGTATAAAATACTTCCTGCAATTATGGAATGGAATTAGTTTATGGATTTTTATGGAAAAATCAAATTCAAATCTGCATCCTTTAGATATTTTGAAACTCTTCCAGAATTATTTCATGCATCAATTATCTCGTTATCAATTAAATCTCGTTCAAAGACTAATATCACGACAATGATTATTGACTGGTTAATAAACAAGTATTAATTCTATTCTCTACAATACTTTGCTGTTAGCTACGACTAACATATGTTCTATAATACTCTGTGTAATGTGTAATCTATAAAATGTAATAATAATAAAAATAATATTGCTGTAATAATAAATAATATTTTGCCATTATATATAAAATGATTCTTATTTTGACAAAGTTTATGTCTCTGTGAAGAAATTTTCAACACATCAAATTATATAAATTATAACTGAGTCTTTGAAAAACACAGTCGCTTTGGATCCTGATTACGATCGAGATTACTTCGATTACTAAAAGCGTCTATCGTTACTGTTTCATTGTTTCATTTCGTCATCGTAGCATAATTAATTAACGGCTATATGTATTTATCATATTTGGCCTAATAATAATACACGTAACTAAAGGATTATTGTGGTCTATTCCCGCATTACAATCTAAGCGCATACGCATTATTTCCTACAGCAAAAGCCGACGACGAACAAAAGGTTCGTGCGCATCGATAACAGAGTATTGTTAGCTGCCTAATGGTTTTGGTATACATAGAATTCTATACCTCGGGTGAGTTTGGCGTGGTCGTATTGATATGATCCTGTAAGCAAATTCTGAGATCCCGCTCGTCCAATTCGCTTTCAGTATCGACGCTAAAACTTCGCACGGTTTGCCCGCCGAGTCCCGTCCATCGCTGTTTCCAACTCTCTAGTCTCATGACCTGTGACAAATAGACGTAATGTAAAATGTACTTCCAAGATAATTCTCCAGAAGGAGAAAGAACTCGTAATGTCCTGCTTTAGAAAATACTCGACTCTCATTAAAAAAAAAAAAAGAGAGAATAAGATATTAAGAGAGAAGTTAATTCTGACTAATTAAACTTGAAATTTGTAAAAATAACTTAGCTATTATAATTATTTAGTTCTAGAGATATAGTTTTTCTCAATATAATTATAAATATATTACTATTATTTATTCTTTTCATAATGAGATTCATAATGAGATTCAAACAAATCAGAAACTAATCTTTTCTTTTCTAAAAAATTATTTATAAAAATAATAGCCTAAAAGATATTAAAATTAGTTTAATAATTTTTGATTTCCTAAACTGTACATATTATTTAAGATACATTATATTAAATATAAATATAAATTTATTAATATATCAATTACATAAAATTATGTAAATGAATGATGATATCGGAGAAGAAAAAATCCAAAACTTGATTTAATTTAGTAAGTTTTAACAATACTTTCGCAGATACTTTCACGCCTTTTTCATATCTACGCATTTTTTCTTCTTCGGTTTAAAAGCAGCAGCCGTGAATGTTTATCAGAACGAAACAGTGAACTTAATCTTAAGGAAGCATGCAAGTTAATTGGAAAGAGCACGCCATGCCATATCACCACGTATATAATAATATAGAAAGTGAGCCACATTTTAATTCAGTTTTAATTTAACTCATTTGATCATATCTGATAATATTACTTGTATCTATTTATATGACAATGTCTATTTATTATGACATTGTTGTAAAAACATATATTAAAAAAATGAAATATCTTCCAAAAAAATTTTTATTCGTTAATCAAATTTAATTAAAGATTTACAATAAAACTAATTACATCAATAATACATATTTATAATGCACATCTAAATGATGCATTTTTAATATATAATAATGAATTGCAAATCTAAATCTGTTTATTCCTTATGTAAATGAACGCTGTTATTATTAAAAGCAAAGATTCCGAACTGAAAAAAAGGTACGCAATAAGTAGAGACAATTATGACAAATCCATTTATAGTAAACAAAAAAAATATCATGCCACGCACACATACGGAGACGATAAAAAATGATGCTTACGCATGGGTAAAGACTTACTCGAGCCAGCGCCAAGGCTCAGTCTCCGGGCTGGTGATTGGCGTGGGGAACTGAGGAGAGACAGACATAACGCAGCAATAGTGGGTTAGTTTTGCAATAACGATTAGTCCCTTCTGGTTAGGCATTAGTTACCGCTCAATATCGTTACACAATAAAAATTACCTCGTAGATATTACCTCGTGCAAGATCGTGCAGCTTCTGTTTAAAAATCACGCTTGTAAATATCGGTATATTAGATATACCGATTTTTTATTGTTAATAAAATAAATTAGTTAATTCATTAAATATGCATAATAGATCTTTTTCATTAATAGCGATAATTCAATAATAAACTAAAATAATAAGCTATCAAATATTCTCAATATCTGCTGTGATAAAACAGATTTTAATAATCATAATAATTATGTTTTTTTTCTCTCTGCAGTCCACCAGAAGCGACAGCGTTATGAAGCGTGTTGGACAGCGTTAAATTGCAGTAAGAGGTGCGATTTGTGCATAATCATTTTATATGAAGTGTTACAACAATGATGAATTACTTTTTATGTTTACGGAATTTAGCAAAATGGAATGTCTTTTGCAATATGCACGATCTTGTAATTTATGAGTGCAGTATGTGTGGTAGCACATTAAAAATCAAAACGTTCAGTTTACATATAATACATTTGTTAGGAATGTATGGTGTTATTTTTTGTACAATTTTAGATAACATATATATCACACACCTATATATAAACAATAGAAACCTTGAGATTTATGGAGATTGATATAATATAAAAAAATAGTAGTAATTAATTCTGTAATGTTTTTATCATAATTGAATTATCTTATCAAACACAGTGTCACATTTATTTTACAGAGAATCAAAAGAAAAAACACATAACAATATGCAGTGCTTAAAAAAGAGTGAAAAAATATTTTTTAGTATTCTTAAATGGGATTTCATAGAATATCCGAAAAGTTTAATTGTTGAAAACTGTCACACAATTATAAAATTAGTATTAAGTTTATATTAATAAAGATAGTATTAAATATTTATAAATCATTTTCTTAAATTATTTTTGCTTATTGTTTAATAATATTGCTTAGTAATAAATATCTTTATTATATTATATTATATTATATTATGATATTTATAATAGTTGTTTTAAAAAATATTACGAAATGTTTATGTTTTTATATCTTATTACTCTAGCACTTAAATTTTAGCACTTTATTTCATTTAAATAAATTTTCAAGAATATACAAAAATATATATATAAAATAAAATATCACAGTTATATGTTGCATGAAGAATAGCTGTTGGGCAGTGATAAAATATTTTTGTGTAATTTGCTCTCTCCTAGTATAGTTATATTTACATAGAATTTATTGAATAAATTTATTGTTCTTATAAAAATAAAAATTATTTTACATAAAGTATATTTTGTGGCATAAAACATAATTCACCCCTTACTGCAATATTCCGAGATACTGCTTTTGTTAATATAATGAACAAAATAAATGTTTTCAATTCCACATACCTCAGCTTTTAATTCAGCGACCTTATCTTGAAGCTCCCGTACTTTCTCACTGTCATCTAAATTATTCCTAAGTTCGCCTTCCGCATGCATTTCCTCATTCTATAAAAATATTGAAATATTATATATTTACATTTAAATTAGTATTAAATTTAATATATGTATAATATGTAAAATAACCTTCAATTCGAGAAGAGATATCGTTTGTGTAAGTTCTGCCACTTGCTGCGCATGTTCAGCATCGCGTATCCTAGCCATCATAGTCTCATCCTTCATTTTCGATTCCAAGTCGGAATACTTGTGTTGCTGTTCTCTCAATTTGGCAGCCAAAACAGTTTCTCGTGCTAACGCAGCTTCCAATTCATCTTTAAGTACTTTTCCACCCTCGTCTTGTCTACGGAGCTGATTGGTGGCTACCTGAACCTGAGTTTCAAGCTCCATAACTTTAAGTCGCAGTTCCTTAACTTCAGTCAATGCCTCCATTTCTCGAATTCTGGTCGTCATTAAGTCTTCCTCGAATTTCTGTACTTCGTGACCCCGATTCTCCCAAAAGAGCAGCTTCTTTGGCGTAGAATCAGCGGCAGGTGTTGATTGAGCGGACCGATGCTCTTGCAGATGCCTCTGCCAAGCTGCACTTAGTTCCATGACCCTCTGTCGTAGGTCCTGCATAATATATAATATGTAAATCTACCAGTATTAGTATAACACTCATAAAAATAACAAGATTATATATAAAATAATTTTACCTTCAAAGATAAATTGGCTTCTGCCTCTCTGAGTTTAACTGCAATAAGTTCCTCTTGCAAATGAGCAACGGAATTATCCGGTGTTGATTCACGCAGAGTCTTCTTATCTTGTTCTAATTCTTGTATCCTTCCTCTAAGTTCCCTAATCAATGCATCGTTTTCTGCTTCGTGTAATCTAACTCTAACCAATTCCTCTTGCAAGCACTGTATCATTTCCTCTTTCTGCGACAATGCTTCTTGCTTCACTAATATTTCGTCGAGTGATGACTGTCTAGATGTTACATTCTCTTCAAGAAGAATCGATAATGATCTCAGTTCTTCGTGCGCCTGTTCGAGTTGATGACTTGTCTCGAGATGCGAATGCCGAAGCGCTGCCAATTCTCTCTGCGCTATAAAAGCAGTTTCCTCTTCTTCGGCGCGTGACACTTGACCTCTAACTAATCTATCGGCCAATTCGGCAGACTCCGCTTCCAAAAGTTCAGTTCTTTGTCTAAGCAATCTATTTTCCGCTCTAAGCCTGCGTAATTCGACCATCTCTTCTTGCTCCTTCATCTTTAAAATGGTGTGATCTTTTTCTAGTTTTTTCATCCTTTTAGGATTGATCTTCATTCCATACGCAAGTGTCATGAGGCCGTCGGGATCCTTTTCGGCCTTTCCAGGCAATTGCTTTTGGAAAAACTGCATAAACAAAAAATTGTGCATAAACAAAATATTGATGATTAAATTAAATCAACATACATATAATCTATACTCTTATTATTATTTAATATTTTTTTCATAAAAATATAAAATATACTTAAAATTAAATTTCTCGCAGCACTGACAATAACTTTTTAAATCTAACAATTTATGAATAGTAAGCTTTTCAATTAAAATCTTACCTTCAACATGCCTTCCATATCCAAACTGAGCAAATCTTCTTTGCCTAATTGCAACATTGCCAATGCAACCTTAAAGATAATTTCCATGCCTTCCGATAGAAAAACGTCAAAAATACGACATGCTAGTGGAAGGCTTAACGCTGTGGTAAATAGTGTAAGAAACCAAGAAGACGCATACATTGACGTATGGAAACCTTGGGCCGTAAAGTGAGCATGAAGTTCGGGATGTGCGTCAGCAACTAAATGTTCCAACTGATACATGCACACCCCTAATTCGGCCATAGTTGGTTTAAACATATCCCGTAAGCGATATTCTTGCATTAGCGCTACGAATACAGCAAAAGCTTCTTCTTCTGGCATTTGCTGCAATATACGAAATTATTAGAGTAAAGCAGACACTCTTTCTCTTTTTAGATAAAATGAAGGATCAAGCATATCAAAGTAAATTTATGGATAATTTCTTTATTTTAAATATTTTTCTATTTCGCAATTTGTTATAAGGATGCTGTTGACATTTTACCTGCATTAAAAGTAATCCTACTATAAATCCCGAACCTTGGCAGTATCCTACTTCGCGATCATGTAGGCTATATGCTTTCATAACATTAAATAAACTCTCTTGACCGAAACCATCCTTCTCTTTGAAAAAGTCATGTTCGGGATATGTCCTAGCGATATCTCTTCTAATTATCCTTTCACAGGCTGATGTTGCTTTAATGTATTCGGCGAATTGTTTCTTAACAGGAGAATCATGGGCACCGCTTAATAATTGCCAAACAATACCTCTAAAATAATATGTAATATAATTAAATCGCAATATAAAGCAAACACTGTTATTATATTTATAGCATGCAATATAAATACATAATGTTACTAATTTTTGGAAGTATAAATAATATTGATAAATAATTTATAATACGTCTATGCTACCTGAAATGATGAGGTATGCCTTGGCGAACCAATTCCTTAACAGATTCTTTTCGTTTTTTCCAATGGTAATCCCAATCAGCTACTATATGACCCCAAAGAGTCCATGTATTTTCTTCACCATCGGCTGGGTTGTGGCGTCGAGGCGCAGCATCGCCGTTACCTCCGCTGCCCCCCGACGCCACAGACACCTGCGATGTATCGGAACCTTTCCTGCTGTGATTGCTCTGAAGAGAATTCAGTGACTTTGCATCGGATTCAATTAGCCTGGAATTAATAAAAAAATTATGGGATTATAATTTTTATTTGCATAAAAAATAACATGTTAATTCACGTAGCATTTTATAGAAATTAATTTTATTACTTGTGTAAATTATATGTATTAAATATTTTCGTGTATTAAATACAATTTTCAAAAATTGATTATCGATATTTTTTATAATCTCTATTTCATAAAAGAGAGAAAATATAATATGTTCCTTTGAAATAGATTTTTAAATTAAATCTTTTTTCTCTTATAATATATGTAATTGAATTTATTGCGTATTCTCAGGATAGATTCATTTTATAAGTACGAAGTACGAAGGAATATAGAAAGGCAAAACTTACATCTTTTCCCACATTTTTCGATATTGAGATAAAAGTGCAGCCTTATTTTGCGTCCTATTGTGTATCATTTCCAAACCAAAATGTGTAGTAAAATTAACATTTAACATTTTTACCCTAAACTTGAAGTGATAGAAAATCCAGGCAACTTATCCAAATATCTGTACATGCAATAGTCCCTTCAACTCTACTATAGATTTTGGTAAAACGAAAACATGAAAAATTTAGCAATGTTGATCTACCAGTCTGTGCAGTATATACAAAAACTGTTTTCTTGAATATTTGAAGGCGTAATATCTTGTCTACAGCATCAGGAGATAGGTGAGAATCACTTGATTATTCACCTATTGGCTTCCTCCAGCTTAGCTAATAGAGCCAGCTCGTCAGTGGGTATTTCCTGCGATGGAGTTATTTGCTGCTCGCAAAAGGTATCTGACGGCGGACTTGGAAGTATCTTGCCGGCCTGCGTGACGTTACGGGTAGATTGGTGGATGCTGGAGGTGCATAAACACAGCACGCTCATCACCTGCGGTCCATAACGCGACAGTCCCAATTGACCAACAGGCGCGTTTACACTATCCCAAGCGACGTTTTGACTTCTGAAATAGAATAAATTGAATTAACGATACCAATTAATGCAATATTCGATGTATAGCCTTTACAATGACCTATCATGATCTAATATATACTTGAGTATCATAAATGCGCGAATCATCTATTCGATCAAAATCCAATAAGTAAAATAAAAAAATTTTATTTTAATCGATTATACTGATGCCAATACGCAAAGACCTACTTTTTAATTGTTGCCAATGTTCTTCATGAAAATTAATGGGATTATTTAAGCAATGCCTTCCCTTTAATTCCAGGTTGATCCAATCTGGATCAATACTAAGTCATATATCTGATAAATACAACTTTAGAAAAAAAAACAAAATATATTTATCCTATCAATTTATTAGTATTATAATACGCATTTTACCTTTTCGCGGCTTTATTTCTCTTCCAACGAGCTGCCGCAGGGGCCAATAAACCACGAAGAACCATCTTGGCAATTTTTCTTTATTTCGTTCGCGATTTTAGTGTTCGCGGAAAGCGTTTTAGCTTTCTCGTGTCCACCGTTTTTATCCTCACATTACCATGCTATTTTACACGTAACAATTGTCATCTATAGTAGAATCCATTTATGATCGATTTTATATCATCCGAGTAAAATCGATCTTTTGCAAATCAATAAGAGACTTGTTATCAATGTATATGATATTTCAAGATTTATGTTTATCTCAATTTTTAAAAATATTTAAATAAATAATATTAAATAAAAATGTGCAAGTATCAATTAAAACAATTTTTAAAAACAATAAAAGAAAAACAGAACAAGTTAAATCAGAAATAATATTTCTAAATAGTATTTTAAAAATAATAAAACAACAAGAAAAATATAAATTTTAACATATTAATTACACTTTTTTAAATCATATTTTGTGTAATAAAATTCTAAAATCTAATTTTACTGATTTGTAGAAAGTAAAAGAAAACTTGGATATTTAGTTTAATATGAAAAAAATTGTTGAGATAATATTCTTTGATAATTAAAAATCTAGAAAAAAATTATCTTTTTAGAAATTTTTATATCCTATAACAAAGAGTATTTTTCTGTAAGCAACTGCAATCTTGTGAAACACCTCGTATGAACGCCGCGCTCGGTGAAGCAACACACGAAGGAGATCAAGAAGGAAACAATTAGTGCGTGTGAACGAATTACGGGCGAAAGAGCAGGTGAATCCAAGCCAGCTATTACAACTATGTATTATATACAGTATACGGGTACAAAACGGAAGCAAACGGAATACGTCGAGATACCGTTCTTCAAGCCACGTCTCTCAAAGAAACAAGAGTTAATGATGTTGAAATTGAACTTGTTGCCATCGTTTATTTGACGTCTTTAGAATTATATAGAATTCTATTCTGTACATTTATTTTCTGAAATTTGTATAAACGAATATTTAAATATCTAGAGGTCAAAATAATTTTATTCATTTGTCTCAAAATCTCTTAGTTTTATTGAAGTTTTCGAATTTTACAGATCGCGATTTAGAATATTATTATATAACTAAAATATTATATAACTTCAGAAATAGAATTTTCTAGAAAATAAGTTTGAATATTTTAAATCGTTAAAATTTTTTTGTCATTATAAACACGATTATAATGTAGTAAATTATTTTAAACGCTAAAGACTTATTTCTTTTTTGCAAACAATTTAAAAATAACAATTTTTAAATCATATGGTTGTAGCAAATAAGTGATATAGTTCTTCATTGTACACATGTTTGAAAACATTATAGAGCTCAATAACTTCCTGGATGTCTTAAAGAAATGCTTTTACGCATTATTTTAATATCAATGTGTTTGTAGACATCGATGGATGAGCACCTGTGTCGTATAGTCAGAATTGCTGCGTCATAAAAATTTCAAGTTATTATCAAGCAAATTACTGACCTATATGCAACACAGCACGAATATGACGAGAATGTTAACGAAAGTTATTGCTAAACTATTTATGCACAAAAAGAAAACAGATAGTACTTTCACTGAGTTAAAAATAAATTCTTTAAAAATAAATTTACTTAAAATAATTAAAATTCACAAATATGTTTCTTATTATATACATTGCATTGATTTTTTCATTATTAAATAAATTTATATTATTAAAATATATAAAATAAGATGCCCTGTGTATCTTTATTTCAGTAATTAATCATGTTTTAATAAATACAAATTATATAAAACATGCCCTGTGATATCGAAATAATTCACATTAAAACTACGAAATAAACATATTTTATTTTTAATTTCAAATGAGTTAAGATTCACTATTTAAGATTTTTTTATGGCATGGATTTTCTTATGGAACTGTTTCTCAGATAGTTTATGACATATAATAGTAAGGTTTAAGATAGTTTACGACATATAATAGTAAAGTTTTTACTAAGTCATAAACAAATGTAAATAATTTAGAAATAATCCATTGCTAAAGTAAATATTAAATTATATTGGCTTATACAAAATGCAACTTGGTAAAACTTAGATTACGTGTACGTAAAATGTTTAAAGATAGTTAATAGCTTAAAACTTAAAAATTTGACATAGTACTACATAAAATGACATATAATTGTAAATAAAGAGAAATATAAAAAGGAAAATAAAGAAATAAATCTCTAGGTAGTAAAGAATTAAACAGCAAAACCGGCGTATTTTTTCATTTTAACACATGCACAAAATGTCGTTGAACTCCTTTTTGTTGTCGCTCTCGCGAAATCAAATTTGCAGTTTACTATTTAATTATCTCGTTATTCTTAAAAAATAGAGTTAGAGTGTCATGTTACTGCATATATTCTGATAAGGGAGATAACGTAATTAGAAATGCGTTCGGTCGGATGTCCACGGCTCCTCTTTCGCCTTATCAAGACCCTTTTTCGCAGAATTTCTCCCGCTTGTTTTTTCGATGCCGATTTGTTAAACGATTAATTCGACGTTCCGATATTTTCGATGCGGCTATTGTTTCACTTATTTTCCCGATTACCCCGGCACGGTGGGATCCGGCTAGGGATGTACTGCTGGAAAGTACGAAATGGGTTTGAGGGTCGATGCAGCCCGCGCAGGCCAGGATGCTCCACATGCGCAGCGACGTCCGTATCAAATAAATAAAAGGATACCGAGTACGTGAGGCTGCTGGTTCAGAGCATTGGGCGTTCTCGTCAAAGTAGGTAAAGTTTTGAAAATTATATGACAACAATTCAATAAAATAAACGCATAAATATTCGGGAATTTTTTACATTCTTTGTATCTTTCGAATACTTTCAAACGGTCGAATGCTTTCTTCATTCTTTTTCAAGCTGCGAATTGATTTTAACTTCGCCAGATCCGACATTTATTTCAGTACTTGTTTTTTCAAAAAGTATCTTAAGAAATCTGTAAATAACTGTTTGAATTAATATTGTAAGTCAAAACATTTCTTCTTTATTTATTCTTTTGTGCGTGTTTAAAGTTGGCGTCATTTCGTGGAAATTCATTAATTATAGAGTTTTAGCTTCGTTTTTGATAGTTCTGGTCATTAAAGCATAAAAGTTGTCTCAGGACAAACTGAGACAAGGTTCACACAGTTCTGAACATATTTAAACGTTTTCTAAAGAACTTTGGTGAATAACAAAGAAATTTTTGAAGTTGGAATTTTACATTCTGTTATGTTAAGATACATAAGCATAATTGGATAATAATTACAAATATTATACAATATGTTAAACCATATAATTTTTTACTTAAGTCAATTTAACATAAACATTTATTGATTGAAACAATATATGTTGTTTAAAGATAATCAACTAAGTCAATATCAACTAAGATAATATAATATAATAACCATATAATAATCATAACCATAGCATATTTTCTAGTAATATATACTTGTCGCCGTTATCATCGGAACGGTCATCTGTTAGATTACATCATAATGTAACAATTTTGATATAAAATAATCATCATAGTATATTTTCCAAATATTTCGTTATTTTATATAAAGATAAAAAATTAATGCCCAATTTTCAAATTAATTTCTTTTTCTTGCTGTATCTCTTGCTTATTTGTTAAAGTTTTAATTCAGAATTCATTCAAACGAGAACCTGTGTTTCGGATTATTTGAAAAATATAAAACTGTCGTAGTTATTTTTTTATTTTCTGTTGAAATTTTTTATATTATTTTATACTATTAATCGAAGCAATCTCGGCTGTAAACGGAAATTTCAGGTGTTAACTCATGATCGCGTCATATTGGATGAGTAACGGTATAATCATTTTCAATACATACAATTCCGTGTATATATTCATATTTTCTCAACTGTAACTCAACGGTATTAATAAAATATTGTAGTTTAAAATGGAATTCAATAATTCAATTTGTGCCATTTCAATAAATAATTTAATTTAGTAAACGCATTTGTATCGCTTTCTATATAAATTATTATTTTATTGCATCCTTATAATATTTAATTGTTTCAATATTTATTTTAAATATTCAATAAAATAAAATGTCATTATCATCCTGTATGCATTAATTACGTTTAAACATGACAGAATCATAAATTAACGAATTTCTCAAAATCGATAGATTATTATATATAAATTAATATAATATTATATATATAAATTAAAATGCAAATATATCTTTTCCTCGCGTGAATATTTATATGGAATTGGAAGTCTGCGAAATTATAAAATAAAAAGATCTTTCATTCATAAGTATATAAACTCATCTACGGGAAGTTACCAATTATGCATTATTGCTAGATCCCTAGAATTTTATACATGACTTACGTAGCCACAAACGCTTATGTGATAATACGTGGCTTACGTGACGAAAGAATCTTACGTTTTTACAGGAAAGAAGTTTTAGAAAAAAGTATAAGTATATTTGAAATACACAACTCTAATAATGTATAAGAATCTCCCTAGAGTAATACACAGATGAAATGGATGTATGCAATTGCACAAAATAAAAAATTAACGCACGGAAAATGTTCCATCATCACACATGTAAACAACGTATCCTTATATATCCATTTATATACGCGGTTATGTACATATATTGATTTTAATATTTGTATATTAACTTATATTTTAATTCAAATGTTCAATTGAACTGGATAAGAAAACAAGAGTGAAATAATTATTTCATCAAAGTAACAATTCAAAAAATTAGAAAATTAAACATATGTTGCTTATAAAGAAAATATTTCTAGATTATTTTTAAATTTTTCTCTCAATTCTTGTATAATCCATTAACTTATAATTTTATTGTACTTAAACGTAATATGTGCAAGATAATAATAACATTTTACTTTATGTCCAGTAAAAATAACAAGTAATTAAATAGAAGCAAAATTATAACGTGTCTGGAATCAGATCTACAAGGAAGGCATAAAAAAAATCTATGATGTAAAGTCACCGATATTTTTACGTAAGGTTTCGAACTCGTACATTACAATTAAATTTTTACAATTATACATACATTATTACAGATATCCACACACGTTAATAAGATTAAATTAATAATGAAAAGTATTCGATAAAGCCTAATGATTCACTCGTGTGTGCAGACACACCTAGGTATTATGTATGTTTCTATGGGATTGACGCTATTTTCGTGTTAAATCAACTTTAGAAGATTGGTATTTTCATCAGATCTATTTTATCATCAAAATAAAGTTTAATTATTTTCGAAATACAATACATCGTTTGTTTTCTTCTTGCATAAGTCATTCATGTAATATAATTTATATAAAAGTGTATATACAATGTATATATAATAAATAAATTAAACATTATGTCATGTCATGAATGTAATTGTTCTCATATAAATTAAATACTTAGAATGTAATTAAAATTGTTATTAAAATTGATGCAAAAAAAAAAATAAAAAGAAAATTATATTTTCTACATTTTTTTGTACTATCAGCAACGCCATCCTAATACATGTAAATATAGACAATTGAATTTTATCTGCTCCAGTTATGGCTCGTAGTACACCCCCCACGCGACTTGCTATGTAACTTCAATTGAACGTGACTAGAAAAATTAACATCTTTGGCTTTAGCTATTTTATATAAATATATAATATATAATTAAGTTGTTCTTCGTGGTATATTCCATAAATTTTCAAATTAATCTCACAATGTATAAAAACATTTTTTTTTTAAATGATATATTTTATTTGAAAATAAAATGTAAAAATATCAGCTCACATATTATTTTAAAATATTATTTTTTCTTAGATAAATTTTGTTTTTTCTTGAATAATATTTATATTACTCCTCCAAAATGTCATCTAAATATTATTTCATAATTTGATAAAAGAGAATATGATATAGATCAATCTTTGATTATTATTAGTCGAATGTAAAGAACAAAAACGTCAATGCGGGGTTATGACAATGTAAAAGATTCAATCGTGATAATAGGAGAATCTAGGTCGCATTCAAATTATTTATAAGGCTCGTGTGTGGAGTAATCGATTCATTTTCAGTTTCCGCACGAAAACACAATGTGTGAAACACTGAAAGGAAGAGGCAGAGATCCGGTACCGAGTTATTGACCCGTAATTCACACCGACATTTAGCGTTAAAGGTCGCTTATCTGCTTCCGAGTCTCACTGATGCAACGTGCTCTCTATCGTTGCCCAAATAAAGCGACAGACATCCTAAAATTGTCCAGATGCACCGCCCACTGTCGAGGTTGATACAAGACACATTTAAAAACGCGATTTAATTACATTTCACTTTCCAATTCCGACCGAAAATCTATATTTTTTTCTTTATTTTTGATTTACGTAAAAATATTACGTACATCAGACTCAAGTAACAAAGTATTTAATTTTTTAATTAACTTGGAGCGAACTCTTCGAACTTCAGAGATTTTAGATTTAATCGTTAATAAAAATATTCCAAAACTTTACAAGACTCAACAAATGATGGCATTTAATAAAACTTTTATCAGAATCAAAAGTTACCGAATTTGTATAATTAATAAGATTGAAAAGTGCGCTTTCGTAGTGTATATTCTTGTGTGTTCTATTAAGGTCATTTAGCGTACGCGAAGCAGGTCTTTTCACGCCTCGAAAGGTAATACCATCTAATTAGAGATTTAACGACGTGTGGAAGAAAGATGGGCAAACGGTGAAGCACCACACAGTATTTCTGACTGCGATGAGGAATATTCGAGCTTGGTCCTTTGAAACTCTGCGTGGTTTTAAGGCAGTCTGCCATGCGACTTTCGCGTAGTTCGATACCGTTTCACCTTACAGTTTCGCAACGCGAAATAAAAGAAATTAGTATTGCTATATTATGCTCACTCCTTTTCTCACGCGGCGAGGCGTTAATTTTATTGCCGTAGAAAATTTTTGAGGTCGATACTCATTACTTGTATATGGTATAGTTCTATTCTTTTATTTGTATATATGAAATCTTTATAACCAGTAGACAAAATAAATAAAATAAAAATTAAAGCCGAGAAATTATACATCAAATGTAAAACAATTCTTTTTATATATCAGTTATCATAATATATCAGTTTTTAAAATTGATCGCGAATTGCAATTGATGCAATAATGTTAAATCGATAATAAAACTAAATACACTTATGCAAGTGGAGATAAATATATTTATCTACAACTTTAAGCAGAAGATACTTTACTTATTCTCTTATTGAACATCTGATAAATTTAATCTCTTTTCTAATTTCTCGAATAGACTAAAATTATTAATTATAAATAAACTTGTAAGCCGTCCTGTAACACAAAGGATTAAACTGACTTTGATCGTTATCTTGCATTGACGTTTTCTCACAAAATTTCTTCCTTCTTACAGATACACAGAATTACAGATACATTACGAAATCACAGATACTTTTAAAATATATATTTTTCTTCCAGTATAAATATTTTTTTATAATAAATTTTTTTTCAGTACCTGAAAGAGAACAAGCAACCAATTGCCAGACGTGATCTTACTTCTGCGAAAACACACGCGTTTTCCTCATCTCTCCGACTATCGACAAGAATTTTTCTCAATTACTCACTCGTTTGGAGAAAAATGAATTCGTAAGGGACCTCCCCCTCCTCTCTCTCTCTCTCTCTTGGAATTTCCACCCACTTTTGCCACCCACCTTCGCGGCTCTTCAATTAATACAAACGGCAACCTCGAACGCCGACGGACGCGATATGCTTGTGTGAAAGTGCCGCCGTTCCCTCAAAGGCGAGCGAGCGAATAATAATAATGATAAAACGAGCCGCGGCGGTCTCCAACTGGCATACGTAACCGGAAAGGGATACGCGGCGCCGTCCGTGTTAGCAAACAAACTGGTGGTCGCACAGGTGGACGGCCGCTTCTCGGGCAGCCATCTGGTCTCGGGGTGCCGAGGGTACGGCGGGTCGCTTACCTCGAGAGCTCTCGCGTCGCGTCGCGTCACGCCGCCGCCGTTCGTCCTGTCGACGATCGTCCGCGACGCCGAGGAATGCACCAAGCCCGACTTCAAATCCAACGAGCGAGCGCAATGCTGACACGGCTAACGAGCAGCGCATACGCGGCTGTCACCACTCGAAACTGTCATCACGGTGAATCCGACCAGATGCAATGTTACCAACGGACGCGGGTCGCTCTGTTACTAATCGGCGTCGCTTCGCGCGCGCCTCAGCGGGGGTGCGACGCTCGCGCTGGTGGCGGCCATGTTGCCCGTTGAATTCCGAACGCTCCGACTTCGATGCGATTCTAGCACAAATCTCCGGATTCTCCGCGATTATTTCTCTCGTTCTGTTTTTTTTCCAAACTTGGGCGATATTTTTCGTTTTCACTTTTGCTCGCTTGATCTCGCCGAAGCTTTGTCTCTCGATTCCGAGAATCATTCTCGATCAGGCCGCGCGTTTTTAAAGATTACCGCGCAATTTCCACTTTTATTCTCACTTTTACCGTCGTCTAACAGAGCGCAGCACCGTGAGCTGTCATCGGCCGCGATCACATTAGGCGTTTCTCGCGCGCGACATGGTCGCGCTGCTGGTGCGCGCAGCAGGTCGACAGAATTGTCAAGATGGAAGACTCGCGGGGTTGACCGTCGCTCGCAGTATGGATTTCACCGCATGAGATTCGTGCACGGGTGCCGCTGGGGCTGAGATTCCCGTCCGGTCTCCGTGTGGAGCAAGAGTGAAGAAAGAGGGGCGGTTGTGGTCGGCAGACGGTGGTGTCTGCAAATGGTGTCGCGCCGCAGGAACGCGATCATGCGGCGCGATCGAACGCGGTAATGAAGAGTGGCATCGCGGAGCAACGCGGCAACGGAGCGAGTCACAATGGTGGATAACAGTTGCATTATCGAAGGAAATGTCAAATTTCGTGATGGCAAGAAGGTGAGTCTCCCGATGAGCCGCGTGAGCTCGTCGTTCCTCTCCCCTTCCGCGTTTCATCCCCCGAGCGCTCACTGCGACGCGGGGTAGGGAATCGTGCTCCATTTTTTTCTCTCTACTCTCCTCCAATTCGCGCGAACGCGTCCCCCGCGAGAATTCGCCTATTATCCCCCCGACATCTTCGAACCGACGCGCGAACATCTTTGAAAGACCTTTCTTTTTCCCTTACTTTTCCCTTTCTTTTTTGTTCTTTCTTTTTCTCGCATTTGCGAATTTAGGAAACGTGCGCTGGACGCGCGACGCTTATCGACGAGTCACCTGTGTGCACACGCCTTATGCACTCGCCTTATGCACGATAAAAAATTATGTAACGATTATGGGGGCGGTTTGTTAGCGTCTGTATATGTACTTTGCGCGATGCACCGATGGCATCGTTAAGTTCCGCGTTATACAGGATGTCCTGGAAAAAACATGCGACAGACTGGGGCTGCCAGATTGCATTTTTGACAGTAGAAGACAGTAAAGATAAATGGTTCGAACTTGCTTATTATGTTTTCTGCGGTTATTTGTCTGAAGATAATAAGATAAAACAAAAATTAAATATTTAAGGGTAAACACAAAAAATTTTGTTTACCCTTAAATATTTAATAGGATGTAGATATTAAATTTTTTAATTAGATAACAGATCTTTTAATACTGACGGAACGAAAAAAATTTTAACAAAGAAAATACTTTTAATAATAATTTCTCACAATATCTTTTTTTTATTAATAAATAAATTTCTTTTTATTAATTATGTTACGCGCATTTTAAATTTTTAGACATGGTTTTCAATAAAAATGTTTTGTAGAAATGATATGAATAATTCTTATGATACTTGTTATTCCATATCATTCTGTTATCAGTGCAAATATGTCTATCATATTTGTATCGGAGAATTTTATATTGGTAACAAGATTTTATTTAGATTTTATTTTTTTATATATTTTATAAAATATGTCAAGAATTATAGTTCTATTTTTGCCAGCAACTCATATAAAAAAAATCCTAATTTTTAAGAACATATTTAAAATACATATGCATTACAAATATAAAATTATATAATATTTATTTTTATCAATATTTTAACTTTAATCTTGATTAAATTTATTCTTTATCCTTTTTTAAATTAAAAAGAGATAAAAAGTAAGTTAAATCAAAATTCAAAGTTAATTTATATTGATAAACATTTTATTTTTATATATATTCTACTACATCTTTTTAAGATGTTTAGCATGAAATATATTTGAAATAGTTTTTGGGAAGAGAATATACATTATTTAAGAATAGTCTATGTAGGGAGTAGCTAATCCAAGTCTATAAAAAGCTAATAAGAAGGTAGAAGAACAAGATATTTGAGAAGATAGAATCCTCATTTACTTTGATGAATTTAGAAATAAATCATGAATTAGTAGGAAGAAGTTCACGTTTGATTTCATATAATTTTTATCACAATTGTGCTTAATAAAAATTATTGAATGCAAGTAATATGTTCTAGACCAAAAAAAATTCTGTAATAAAATTTAATATTACCATATAAATATTACAGAGTTGGATTTATAACAGATTTAGTTAATAAATTATTTTGGATTTAGTTGGATTTAGTTAATAAAGTTATAATTAAAATCGTTGCAATATTAAAATTGTAAATAACGGATAAAAAACTATATCGCTTAGTTTTCAAGAATGAATTTTTCTTTTCATGATTACAATTAACATTTAATTGAAATTTAATTGTCAAAATATTCATTCTTGCATTACATTACTGCAATAATTTCTTAAATATATTATGTATTAATAAAACTAACATTTTAATATAAGAATATTTTTTAATATAAGAAAAATAAAATTCTAAGTTATATCTTTATCTTTTTAATGTTTTTCAACATATTGCCTATTGTAAAATTTTATGTATACATTCTATGTTTATATCTATTTAATACCTGTAGTAAAAAAAAAGAATCGAATATTAAAAAGATATTTTATATGATTATATATAAAGATAATTTGTTTTATTATACAACTAATACAATATAATTTATTTTACAGTGGAAATCAAGATGGTGTGTTATGCGGAAATTATCACCAGTAGCAGGTAAAGCCTCATGATTGTTTTTAAACGCTGTTGTTAACAATAGTCTTACTGTTTTGTCGTTCATTTACCTTAAACGTGCTAATAATTTATGTTATTAATGAGACTTTGATAAGATAGCGCTAATGGCATGCATGTATACATTTGCGTTGTTCTATTGTATCACGGTTGCATTTAGAGGGAGAAAGAGAGGAAGGGAATGCAATAAGATAATAAACAGGAAATATTATACACTCTTGAAGTGTTCTTCCTTTTTGCTTTTACTATCACGTTGATACGTATATCTCATAATTTGCATAATAGACTCCCTGTTATATCTCTGCTGGCAAACTATGTAGCATACATTACACCCATTTTTACAAGATGTCCCTTGTTTTTATAGTTGAGAAAATATTGAATTTATCGCAGATTGAATTTTGCTTTAGCCTGTTTTACAAGCGGATATATTTAGAATATTTAGTTTATGGATTATTTATAAACAAAGTGTTGTATCATCCATTTTTTCCAGATTAATAAAATTGATTTAAACTTTCGGTGTAACAGAAGTTTATTAATTTACTCAACTTTGCATTTAATATAGTAACAAAATGTTACTACTACAAAATGTTATGAAAATATATGTTAGTGGAATATATATTACATTTTATAATAAAATTTAATTACGTATAATTAAACATGATAGTTAGTAGTTACGATTTAATGTAGTTGGAATATTATTTACGTAATTGTTTAATATGTTTATTTAATATTAACTATAATATATGGATGATAGATAGATTTCTGTATTCTATGTGTTACAAATTGGTGGAATTTGTCGGCGAAAAATTAGTTCTTTCTCTCTCTTTCTCTTAGTTTCTCCCTTTAAAAGACCCTTCTTGCTTGTTATCAGTACAAAGGACCCTCCTTCAAACCTTCCTAGGGTGACAGCTGGCACATCTGTTGCTACCTAAAGCAACAAAAAAATTTCCAAGAACAGCTTTGCTCTTAGCAATAACCATTAATACATGATCCCTGTAACTTGAGGATATTTTAGAACCAAGGGTTTGAGCGCTTCATAAATTTTTCTTAGACAGAACTTAACGAGGAGAAACGTAAACACGTGACGAAATTTATTTCTGTATATCGATCTACAGATGAGAATGCATTTATTATAACTGAATATTTCTCGGGAAATAATATGTATAACAAAATATTGAATGCATGTTAATAAACATCAATATTTGTTATTTCATATAAACACATCAATATAAAAAAAACAATTTTCTCTCTAGTTTATTAAAAGAAAAGTTTAAAAAAGAAAAAATAACATCGCGTAACTTTAAAATATATAAAGCATATGAATATTCCTTTTTAACAGATTGCTTGCATCTGCAACTTTATGGAGACAGTAAGGATCGTTACAAGCAAGGCCAAACAAAAGCGTCCCTAAGCTTGCAACACTTTCTGGGAGTGGAGAGTGGTTTTACACTCGACAAAGAATCCAATACGATTGCTATAATTTGTCAAGATGTAACAGTTGTCCTCGCATTTGATACGCGGGAACGATTGATACAATGGCAAGTTAAGATCTCGAACAATTTAGGCGAAGGTAAGTTGAACGTAAAGTACATTCAAAGAGAAGAAAATGAAAAGCATTAGAGATGCAAGATACTATATGAAATTCGGGAATAAAAATTATCATCTCGTATTAATTAATTCGTCCACTTTCCTCAACAGATCAGCAATTTTTGATACTCATCTCTTCGGTGCCGTCGAAGGCGAAGTTCACTAATGGACCGGCACACTTGCACATTCAGGACTGTCGTTTTTGCATCACTATCGGTGTACCTCCTCGACTCGTTGGTATCTGGGAGATCGCGCATCTCCGACGATATGGCGTGGTCGAAGGTAGATTTTGTTTCGAGGGTGGCTCGAGATGCGGTCGAGGAGAAGGTTTACACGTTCTGATAACTGATCAGGGAGATGATATAATTAAGACGTTGCAGCTGGCGGCAGAGGGAAAACTCACTACGAAGAAACGATCGCCGCTCGGTAGAGAACAATTATCGACACAGGATAGTCCAGGGCGACGCCAGTGTTCCCGCGCCGAGACCAGAGCCAGCGATTTCTTTTCTTCGACTGTGTATTCAACGTCGACATATGAGGAGCACTGCGACAGTTGCAAAAATGAGAGCTCACCGTACTGGTCATCTGCGGAGAGCAGACAGCAGACAGAGCTCGATGGTGATTATAGTTGCCGAGATACGATGTCCATTTCAGAACTGCCCGATCAGCAGCCCGGCGGCGAGTGGCGTAGCTGTTCACTCACTCGTCAAGGTGCAGCGGGACTTGAAAGATGCGCGAGTTGCATCAGTAAGCTCGGTACCGTTTCGAAATCGTCGACCCTGATCACTACGGCTATCGTGAGCGGCATCAGCAGTCCTGCCGCGAGCACGTTAAACAACCTAGCATGTTCGCAGCCCCGTACCTTCGATCGACTATCGTTGTCTTCTTACAGCAGCAGCAGCCACGAGAGCGATTATTCTGGTTCGCAGCAGATAGAATGTCAATGCGCGCAGTCGAAAACCGCCCAGTCTCAGACGGCTCGTCAAATGTCACCGAGCCCAAGTACGTTGCCGCCGAGACCGCCGAAACCGTCCCAACCGCCATCGCAACCAACAACCAATCAGATTGTCACTGCCAAGAAGCCTAAAAAACCGCCGATGCCATTGCCTGCCGAACAGCAAGCTTGTGTGCATCCTCGAAAACCTCAACAAGTTCAGCAGGCTCAACAAACCCAGCAACAATCCCAGCAAGCCATAGCTCGCAATGTTGCGGGACCTTATGAGAACTACGACATTCCTAAAACAATTCTGGGTCATCACATGCTACTGGAGCAAGGTCCGCAACCGGAACAGTATTACGATACACCAAGAAAAATAAAAGAATGTCTCACACTGCCGAAAACCTATCCGAATTACGACACGCCTCAGGTACCGCAGGCTGTAGTCCTGCAAGGATGTGGCTGTCCCGCAAAACTGCCAGTCCAATCGCCTAGATCTTCAGGTTGTCCTTGTCATAATGTTATGAGTTGGGCCGGCTTTGTTCTACCTTACTGCCGACGTGGCGCGGGAATTGAACCGACCGGCGTCACAATTCATCCCGTAAAACTCTCAGGTGAGGGTAAGATGCCAGTGGTGAACGCAAGTGGAGACATAGCGATTTATGCGACCGCCAGAAGGATAAACAAAAATGAATCGTCCGACGAGAAAGCTACGGCGGAGAACTGTGGCTGCGCCGTGGGAAATAAATCGAACAATTACGAGAACGTCGAGCCAGTGATAGATACGCAACCGGAATCGAAACAAGCGAATTATGTGAATATTGATTTTACGCAATCACTTGAGCATTACGAGAACAGCAAGGATATTTTAACGAAAAGCAGTATTTCACAAGAAGAAATTGAGAAATTCGCGGATCAATTGAAGGAACCAACACCCGAAGCACCGAGCGAAAATGCTTCGAAAATTTGCGAGAAATGCGGTCACGCAAAAGAAAAAGAAAATAATTACTTAGTCATGGATCCGGATAAACAAACCCCGAAAAAGCCGTTCCCCGCTTATTTACCAATGCAACCGGCTCACAACGCTTGTTCGAAGGAGATCCTATCTAGGCTCTGCAGTGGTATCAAGAGTTCCAGCAATCCGACGTTATCGGGATCCACGTTACTTGAGATAAATAAAAAGCGTTCCGACTCGGAATATCGTGTGCCAGGATCAGCGATGCTGTCCAGTCCTTATCTCAGACGTCGCTATCTGGACGTGGGTAATATCACGGAATCTGGCGGTAGCATAGGTATACTTCTCAGGAAACGATCTTACTCTGCGGAATCCGCACATTACCTGGACGACGAGAGCCATACCTTTCCGTCCACACTTACTATCCACAAGTGCTCAAGTGAAGCGGATAAGAATTCTTTGATAACTGGCGAGTCGCATAATTCGTGCGTCAATTCTGAAAACAAGATTAGTAGTAATCACGAGAACGGGCAAATATTGACGGCCGCGTCTCAACCGTCGTTCATTAAGATCCGACGTTCATCATCTGTGCCATCTAAGACCGGGCACAATAGAGATTCCTCAAGCAGCAACGATTCCGGCGTTTCAACCGGTTCCCTCAGTCACCGAACGGCGGAGTTTGTGGAGTTCGAGTTATCATTGGCAGCACCTGCTGCTTCAGCAGTAAAGCAAAATATGTTGTCGGTCTGCCGCAAAAGTCCGCCACCTACATGTTATCACAGCAGCCTGCCGAGGAAGTCCAAGTCCAGCGATCCTCTTCGTGAAATTTCCTTCCAATTCCAAAAGATCAAGATACCAACGAAATCGTCATCTGCGGAGGCCGACATACCGACGTGTTTGCCAAAAACTACGAAGGGCTTTAATAGCCCTGGTGAAGTCTCTAATGCACCTTACATCGATTCACGAAGTACTAGCAGCGGTACTTCCGACATGTCAGATTACATCGAAACTTTATCGCTGTCTTCACATTCTTCGTCCGATACACCTGACAGTCTTAGGTAGGATATAACTGCAACTTTTGCAAAAGTTCCATTGTCCTTCTTTTCATAATTTTCTTATATAACTTATCTTAACTCCATCAAAACATATAAACGTCCTATAAATTTATATACAATGTTTTAGAATTTTATGACCTTCTTTTATAGCTATTCTTTCTTGTATATAACTTCGATTGATTTATTTTTAATCGCTAAAAACTTATACATTATTTTTTATTTTAAAACATTTATAATTACATTTTTAGAAAAATTATACAAATTTATACAATAGAAATTTAAACACATAATCTACTAATTTATTGTCTTGTTATTTAATTTAACTAAATATCTTAGTTTTACAAATAATTGATTTTAAAGATATTTTTTGAAATTTTATTTGTAATTATAATAAAATAACAATAATAAATATGATTTAATTGATTTTATTCGGATAATAGGATGGATAATTAATCACGTTAAATTAATTATTTCTAATAAATTGATTATTTTATTTATATAATTAATATGAGGAAATCATATATGTTTATATAGATTAGGAGGTAGAACAGTAGCAACGACTCTTCGACCTCGTAGCGGAAAGGAATATTATAAAATTGATCGAAGTATCTTGGTAGAACAGGGACGGCTTCTCACTACGGCATCCGCTAATTATGCAAATATCACTCCAGTGTTAGAAAAGAGCGAATCACCGTCACCTGGTTACATGAGTAGTTCACCTTTTGAGCAACCACAACCCACTCGTGAGCATTTTCTATTCCCCGAGGTGAGTATCACGGTATATAAGGAAATAGATTGTATCTATATTGATCCATACGATATCAAATTCTGACGAGAATTTAAGTAAAAGAAATGATAAATTATAATT